TTTTTTCTATTTGATTTAATTATTTAATTTTTAAATGATATAATGTATATTGTAAAATGTCGAGAGTTATGGAGAAGTTTTTTTTTCATTTGAGATCTCCAAAGTATTATCTTTTTCACTATATTATTACTCTACGCCTTTTATAGTAAACAGTCGAATTTACGGATAATTTTGTTTGTACTATAAGTAGCAAAATTTATGTGTTGTACTTTATATGATTAGAATCGCGAGCTTCCAAGCTCAATATTAAGCAGCGTGTTACTTAGAAATATAAAAAGAAAATAAAACATGATGAGATGACAATTTTCTGTGTATTAATTAAGGCTTGGAAATTAAATCTGTCAAAACTTTTGATGTTTTTTTTTTTTTATTTTTTTATGTCCGATCATGATTAAGAAGTGTCAATATTATTGTATTATATGTTCTTAATTCGACGATTAAAATTTTAATACTCATACGTCCATGTAGATACATACTATACATGTATATACATATATTTTTCCTTTAATAGCATTTTCTAATATAAAATTTTAAATTAAACTTTTTTATTTTATTATAAATTACTTTATTTAAAAAAAATATATATATACAATAAAATACTATACTTGTAATTATTCTACGCGATTGGCTATTGCAAGATCTTGAATTTGCTATAGCAATATAATACTCTTTAACTGAACTGAACTTTAGATACATATATTTATTTCTAAAATGAGAAGATAAATATTTTCTAGATTCTTGTAATTTGAAAAGATTTGTATTTCGAGATTCGGGAAAATTCATAGGAGGAACATAGTAATAAGAATAATAAAGTTATAAGGCTCTGTGTGTATAAAACAAAGTATATATAGAATAAGGACAAAGAGCCAATAACACAAATACATAATGGCCTGGTTTACATCGTTGATACGCGTATCAAGTATTATATTCGTATCAAATTGGTACTATAAACACTTAGTACGCACGATGTAAACGCTGTCGGATTATTTTGGTACGAGCGTATCAAGCAGGAGTATCGTACTAAACTGATACGCGTATCAAATGATACAAATGGCGATGTAAACGCATGAAACACATTTAATACGCGTACCAATTCTTTCACGATGTAAACCAGGCCAGTAATAAGATTTTTCGCGGTTTTAAATACGAAGATTTGAATCTGACCAATCATAGGTTGCGCTAGTCGTACGTAAAGTAGTTTAATAACTGCGCACAGTTAATCGATGCCAAACGAAAGATCGCTCTCGTTTTGGTCGCTCAATAATTAATAATTCACGCAATTGTAAGTAGTGTTTCCGCGTGTAATAGAATATACATTTTGTCATGCAATATGGGACATCAGGTAAGCGCATAATATGTCTTGAGAATGATCAAAAGTGATTGATTTAAAAAGTCAATATGAAATGCATTTCAGAGAAGAGGCGTTTTGCCACGCGCGCAATCCTTTTCGAAATGGTGACCACCCGCGTTGCGCGGAACGTATATGGACGTGGTGTTGTATACATGCAGTTTTGTGTGAGTGATGCGATACATTCATTATGCTTATTCAGCAGTGAATCAAGGTATTTAAGTATTCTTTAATTTCTGCGATGTAAAACTCGTTGTATTTAGCGGCGACGCATATCGACTTATTCGGCGGATGCTTTTGTCGCGTCCATTTTTAAAGATGTGATAAAAATTCATCAGATAAGAGAAAGAATCCGATTTTTTGGTCGAAACGGAGCTTGGGGTGTGCTGAATAATATTAAATATTATAATATTAATAGATTGAGACGTTGAATGCGTTTAGAATCGTTCAGCATGCAAATAATCATGAAACAATTGCAAAACTATTGCGTTCTGAACGCAAAATCTAGCTGTCGCTATGATTTGTAGTAAAGTACGCTAAATCTCAAGCAAAACATGTTGACCAAAATGGCTTCAATGTATTATTCTTTGAGGCACAATGTATACTCGTGACGATGTAAATTAGAATGTAGCAGACACTTTTGAAACACGCGGAAAGTTATTGCTAATATCGATTACTGTCAATGGAAGATTAAAAATATGCATAAATAATAGTTCAATATTATATTGTACGTATGTATAAATATTTTCTACATATCGTGAAGATTCTCTAATTATGCGTGCAATAGCTAATATACCGCGTAAGAGCTAGTAAACTTGTTTGTGCAACATTTGCACAAGCAGAAGCTAAATGTAATTCACAATATTGCGTTTCAAATCCGATAAATCGCGCGATATATACCATAATTTATAAAACTGAAAAATGTATTAACATTAACTTGCAAATTTACATATATGAATATTATCGAGCATAATAAGATCGCTTTGGCCAAATAATAGCATTCTTTCTTTTATTTCACTTATTTTTATCGATCTAATTTCTACTTGTATATACATATAATAATTATGCTAAATTAACCATGTGCGCAAAGCGTAGAGGGACGAAGGAGATTCATCGGTTCTCGAAATGTTTCCATTTATTCTGAGCAAAATACAAAACACGGTTCCAGTTTAAAAACTAACGGATTACATTCTGCAAAATTACTTTTGTCCCTTATTATCGTGATTGTAAATAATAATCGATGAACGCGCGTCGCTCGGTATAATTTAAAAAAAATAATTTAATTAAGGCAACTCCGTTGTATTACAATTACGCTATACATATTATCCTCTTCGCGTACATATATGTGTGTTTATATATATATATATATATATATGTATATTTTTCTGTATATTCTCTCTCTATATATTTACCATTCGATACCACAAAATCAATCGTACAAAATCGATTTAATGTAAGAGATTACGCACGCGATTAACGGCACTTTTTCGCTCAAAAACTCTCCAAAACACATATATTTACTAAATTTTACCCCGACTAGACTAGCAAGCGCGATCGAGATTTAAAATCGGTTTACGATTACATGCTGCTCGCGTATTATATACAACTTTCGCCGAAGCGAACAAAGGGCGGGAGTTGAATTGGCTTGACGTCGAAGTCGACGAATATATTTTTTAATAACAATTATAAACTCCCGATTTGGCGTCATCAGCATCGACTATTAAAATCTGTCGACACACAACATAACGAGTCTCGCACGATGCTGAGTACAATAAATCCCATGTTTACATAGAATTATTTTTTCATTACCCTTGGTGAAAAAAATTCTTATATCTTATAATTAAAAAAAAATTTTATATTTCTAATTTATAAAGATTTAAAAATATTTTAAATTTCAGATTTTACAAATTTTCTTAGAAAATTATATTGTACAATAAAAAATCTTTGAATATTTCAGAATTCACAAGAGAATTGAAGAAAAAATATAGTAAATCTGTTCATTATTATATATATATAAAAAATGTGTTCCAATTTTTGTACAAAAAAAAAATTTAAGAAATTTTCTGAAAATTATAAATTATAAAATTTATTGTACAAATTATATATGACATGTTAAAAATTGTATGAAAGTTTTTCGCCAAGGTCTTTTGTAGTAAACTGGAAGAGAATCACCGGACAAGATAGTTTTGTTTGTCTAATAGTTCAAAAATATATTGACAATGATTATTTTGCGAGCTCGAGAATTTTTATAATCTTGTTCTCAATTTGTTAATTTCTATCCTCTAGCTACGGTGAGCGATTTATAATTTATCGTGCTAAATTTTCATGCAACTCTTGGCTATCGATATGTATTCCTCTTAAGGAATATTGACTCTCATGAATAAATTATTCTTATATAGCCTAATATAGTGATTATAAAATACTCCATTATATTTCGATTCATTTGAATGAAGATGAAATTTTCATTTAGAGTTACGAAAGTGCTTGGTCATTATAGTTTCTTCATGTCACAGGTAGAGCCCCGCGAATGAAATCTTGCGCATTACTCGCAAAAAATATAATGCATCCGTATTTCCTGTATTTAAGAATATATCGCATCGAGATGAGATACATAAAACTCATTTCATTCTTTATTTGAAGAACGTCTGATCGTAAACATTGAAATCGTATGAGGATCCAATGGTTTACTTCGTTAAGAAAAAGAAACTCGCTTAGCAGAAATAATGAGAAAGTATTAACTACATCGTATCGATACATTGATATATTGACACTTACGGCATTGCGTCTTAATCTCGAGACTAAATTTGTAATGTCATACACACACGTATATATATTTCTTTATAAAGCTTTATCGAATTATATCAAATAGGCACTCGAATGGAATTATCAGCGTCGAGAATATCCTATTTATTGCTTATTATTAGATTGATGTATGAGATTTAGCGGAGCGATTTGTGTGAATCACATAACGTACACGTTACGTGCAGTAAAATCAATTTTACATTCAATCGGTAGAGTGTGACGTAATAGTTACTACGTGATAAATGTTTTTTTTTTTTTTTCACTTTATGCAAGTAACTTTGCAATACTAGGTAATACTATAATTTTTATGTTATTATCATATCACGTTTATAAGTTATTGTCTTTTCATAGATGGGAGTTGTTGTAATTAAAACGAAAAATTCGATTTAAACAGGTCATGATAATTAATAAATATGTCGCTATCAGAATTACCAAATATAAGATTTGGAATGTCCTTGTTATTAATTCTTCATTAATGTACAAATAATATCCTTGCTATTAACTCTTCATTAATGTATAATTAAACGAGACATTGTTATAAAAAGATTTTAGATGCGTTAGATTCTTCGAGAAGAAAATTATAAAAAATTAGGAAATAAGATGAAATTATAATTTGAGCACTGCTTGACTTTTACTGATATTATAATCATAAGGTATGCTGAAATTCGTTTGGATTTAACAAAAAAAACTCTTTTATATAAATACTTACAATTTAACAATTCAGTATATTAAACTTTAGCTTATCTCAGCTTGTTAAGAAAACCAAAAGTATACATATTATGTGTCACAATAATGAAGATCTAAAGTTTTGTATAACAAGGCTGTTGTCCTCATTATCGACATTCGCGAATCACAGAGCGGTTTCGAGAGTAGGAGCACTCGGACTGCGCGGTGCTACATTTTGTGTCACTGCGTGTCGCGGAGATTCCGATCGTGCTCTGAATCTCTTACTGAAGTAAAGATTCTGCGACGAATTAGTGCTCGTGGGTGTGCTGGCCAGAAATTGAGCTCTCGCTAATTGATTGCTGATCCTTCTCGACTCCAGAGCACTCACGGGATCCTGATTCTTAGATTCGAGGGTATTCTTTGAATACCGTAACATCGTGTTAATGTTCTCGTTTTGAGGCAATAAGGACGAAGTATCTTGGCTGGTTTTCATAGAAGATATGGTTAGTGTAGGATTGTCAAATGTGCTTGTGATTAATTCTCGGATATGGTTGTTTTGATTTAACGATTGAATTGCGGGATTAAGATTGAGTTCATTTATAGACACCTTTAGTCTATCGTTGTTTGTAGCTTTGTAGTCAGTGATACGTGGATGACTCGGTAGATCGATACAAAGATCCAGCTGTCGTCTAGAATTCAGTTTTGAAATAGGAGATGTGTTTTCCGGCGAGGGCTTCATTGCCTTTTCTTCCGCCGCAGTGTCCTCGATTATGGTGGATGAAAGGACATCGGTTCTCGGGGTCTGGAACCTCCAAACTGAGCGTGGACTCAGAACTTTGGTTAAGGGATTCTGATGAGTGTTGGGCGACGATGGTTGTGGTTGTTGACACTGTTGGCGTGATAGTTTTAGTTGTTCTGCCGCCGATAATCGCATGGGATTGGCCTTTACACTCTGTTGAAGGAGTAAACGTTTGAAATCCATACGTGACGTGGGCGATTGCACCGTAGTTGATATCTGGAATGAATTAATGGGAGAAAAACGAATTGTAGCAAATAAATAAATCACAAATTGCAAAATTTTAGAAAGATAAAAAATTATATCAATTTGTGCTAAAGTAAACGTATACTTGCAATTAGTCTTTGTTTATATTAAATAAATATTAATGATTAACAAAAAACAATTTATCTGAGAGAGAGAGAGAGAGGGGGGGGGGGTGGGGGGGGGGGAGGGGCAGGAGAGAGAATAAAAATAGAAATTAAGAGAGAAAATATAATATATCTTCGAATCGTTGATTTTTGCACTGGTATTGACAATTACATACCTCTGAAGAAGCTTTTTGAGATTCCGGGCTCCAGCTATGCCTAGTACCGGGTGGCGTTTTCACCAGAAAGTTCATTGATACACACGGCGACAGATCTTCGGTGTCGTTTTCATTAAGCTTGATATTGAGTTTCTTCTTGGATTTGTGAATTGCAGTAAATAATTCCTCGTTAGACATGGTGCTTTTGGTAGGCGACAGGACTAAATTGGTTGGCGTCGTCCTGCCGGAAGAAGTCTGGATGGGAGTGCTTCTGCCCGAAGAACTGCTTGTTGGTACTGGCGATGGGCAGTTATTGCCGACGGTGGTGGTCAGAGCTAGACGTTCCGCCACGGTTGGCACCGATCGTCCATGGTAGTTGGTGGGAGTGGACGATTTGAAGCCGTTATCGTAACCCCCGTGGCCGATCGGCGAAATTGGATTATTTCTCAGAACATCCGCATTAGGAGACTTTGTAAGAGGATCGTTGGCGGGTGAAGATGCGAAGAATCGATAGCCGAGTGCAGTTTGGTTTAGAGGCGTTGCGAACCTGTGCATAAAAGTGATAATAAAACGTTTAAAGGTTAATAGCAATTAATTGCAATTAGTTGCTTCAATACATTTGATGATCAATGATCTATACTTTTGTCAAATTTTTTATATAATAAAGATAAAAAATTAGATAACTAACTACAGAATAAATTTGCTTTCGTTTTATTCATATTGTTGTATAATGTTATTAATATCATTAATCTTTAATCTTCTGATGTTAGAAATATATGCAGAGGATTGAAAAAAAGGGGTTAGAAGGATCAAAAATAGAAGGATTCTTTTTCTTTAGTTTTTACTTTTTATTATAAATCAATCAATTGTAAATCATTTGCAGAAAAACTTACAGTTGATATGAAATTAGGTATATGTATCTAATAGAAAGAATCCTTCTATTTGTAACTACTTTTATCTCATTCTTTCTAATCCTTATACCTATTTCTAACATCCACGACTGACTGAGGTTGACTCTGCACAAATCTGCCTCTCGTCTCTCCTTGTTCCAAAAAATTTCTTCTCCCCGCATCTGCATAAGAAACATGTCGAGCCTGTTCGTTCTCTACGACCGTGACTCTCTGTTGACTCTGTTTCGCTAACATATGCATGCTGCTGAGAGAACCGCGTCCCAGACCCCTAGTGATATCCGGCGTGACACTACGAGGTGGTTCGAGCTCTCGTTGAGGTCTCCTTGTCGGCAAGGTATGGAACTGCTGTTGATTGATATCTTTGGCTGGTGAACTGAGTTTCTGATTCATGGCGTTGTGCATGTGCACTGTTCGATAGTTGCAAACTCGTTGCTGATACTCATAGTTCGACATTCTTTGCTGATCGAGAAGATTTTTGCCATTGTCATATTGCTGAATATTTTGATGCGAATCGTAGATGTCCTGCTTTCGATTCTGCGTGATCGGTTGCTTCTCATTTTCAGGATAAGTTCGCAGTTTCGGTGGTTGTGTATCCTTTAAGATTTCTTGGTACTTGTACGACTTTTGTCGATTCTCGGGCCTCGGCGGAGCGATGTAGGGCGGCGGTTGAACGATCGCTTGTGGCGGTATGGATTCCGGAGATATAGTCAGTAAAGTGTTGTCTGCAACACAATTAAGAGAATGTCTTTACGTTTCTCACAAGTGGTAAGATAGGACATAAATATTTTTCTGAGCTCGATTATTTTCAGCTTGATAAAAATACAATTAGAATTGCTATGTTTTAAAAGTCTTTAAATAGATTAATCTTGAAAAGATCATAAAATGATCTTGAAGAATTGTGTTAAGTTTAAATCATGTCTATATATTATTATAATTATGATACATTTTATTACATGTAAGATTATTTCTTACAATTTTAATTTATAATTGCTTTATTTTTGAGGTATTACGATTAAAAGTTACGTAAGAGGGCACTTTCCAATGATTATAATTTTATGTGTTTAGTAATATACACATGTAGATATATTAAAATGTATGTTAAATATATTAAAATACGTTTACATGAAGGCTATTGTTGAAATATATCATGAATGATTATCCAAGCAAAGCAACATTGCAAAAAGCATCACAGACACAAACATGCAATAAACAAGACGTGAAAATATTATAATACAGCACATGAGTTTGATGTTAATTCTTGTGGCCATCTAAATTATTATATTAAATTTTAATATTTAATGAAACTTTAAGTTAATTAGATCAATAATATGGAGTAATACGTGTAATGTAATTTATAGACATGTATAAAACATACACGCACGCCACACACACACACACACACACACACACACACACACACACACACACACACACACACACACACACACACAATGTCTAATTAAATAACACATGCAGACATAGCTTTATATATGCATGTATGTATATATTTTAGAAACATATTCAAGAATTATTAAAATAATTATATTACATATAATAGAAAAATTCACGTTTTTTTTCACATCAAACTTACGCGCAATATACCTAGGAAGTTAAAAAAAACGTACTCACCAGGTGCATTTTTTTTTTCTAAAACATGGAGCATGGAACTATGATATGTGTGTGAGTTACTAGTGCGGGGTGCCACACGCGCGTGAAGTGCATTTTTTTTCTAAAACTATACAGTAGGCACAAAGGTATGTAGGATTACATAAAATAAAAAATAATAGACAAATCAGGCGGGAACTTAGGATGGTGCAGTATTTACAAATTTAGAGATGCATATTATATGTATGATATGTACATGGGTGAGATGAGACGATATATAGATAAAAAAAGAGAAAAACAATGACAAAATGCAAGTGCTTTCCAAAAAAAGTGACGTCTATTCACATACATTTAAATCATTAAAATGACATCGTTTTATCGGCTATAGTAATATTGTACTTTTATGTATATGTACAGACAAGATACGTCGCGATAACGCATTATAGGTGTACAAAAAAAAAAAAGGAAAAACATGTACATATATGTGACTATAATAACAGTTACTTAGCAGATATAGATTTCTTAACGCTCTACACATATACACATACACATATAGGTACAGAGTACACGCTGATAGTGCATGCTCCCCTGCCCAGGTTGTAAGTACGTCTTCGTGATATTAGTTGCAAGCTGTTTAATGAACACTGTTGTGTCAGGGTAAATACTGTGAGGAATACAGCACATCGAGCGATTTGAATCCCGTTTCCTCGCGAATTTAATTAACGGATATATGCGGCACGTTTTATAATCTATGTGCTATTATCCCGTAAAAACAGGCGGCACAAAATTACGTGTGATGTTATCGCGCTAACTAAACGTTAGCAAAATCGATGTGATAACTATCGTCTAGATTACATACAGAAGGCGCGGTATGGTATATACCTATTACAAAAGCAACATTATATTATCAGTAAAAAGAGAGAGAGAGAGGGGGAGGGGGGGAGAATAATCGTTTCAGACACATTAATCCTCTGTGAAATTTGCTTGGCACTCTCTCTAGTATGCAATTTCTTATAAGTTATATTGTATCAGTAATATATCAGTATATAATCGACATTCCATCATAGATCAAGCTAACAAGACTCTCTGTATACACTGCGCGCGTACAATACATAGTATAGAAATATTAAAAACAGGAATAAATTTTTAATCTCTATTCTCAATTTTTTATTTTTGTATTGCTCAATATTTATAATATTTTCATTTCTAACATTACTTCCATTGAGCGTAGGACCTAACTTTCTTGGTTTTATATTTAATATTTTAGAACAAAAATTAAGTATTTTATAAAATTATTAAAAGAAATGTACATACATTTTTTAATGATTTTTACGATCGCGCAAAAAGGCGTATAAACACGGTATCACCCTGATATAATGATAGCTACAGGTTCTATGTACTTACAGTTAGTCTTTGTTAGTCAGTGATGATAGACGCTACTTACAACGAGAGGCGAGCACACATCTCGAGCAAACATGCGACCACGACAAATTAAGGCATATTTACGAGGGTTTCATAAGCATGCCGTAACGTGAACTGCCGTTATCTTGATTATGGAAGATGACAGCTGTTCATTGATAGAATACTTAACGGTGAATCAATGCGAAATCGAACGTAAAGATTTTGACATTTTTAATTCCAATCCGATCGGAGGAAGGTAAATTTTTTGTCATTAAACTATCAAGTCATTATTATAAATTAATTACATTTCAAATTTAAGTATAAAACGTAATATATGTATATATATATATAATTTTTAGATTAACAATAACAAATATATATATCTAAAGTTTAAGAATAATTTTAATAGAGTTTCTTTCAGATTCCTCAGAAATTTTTAATTATAATAATATAATAGATGAGATAATGTGCAAAATGCTAAGGTAACTTAAAATACAATAACATGGTTTTCGTATCATCAATAGATAGAGGTCAATAACTTAACTTCGCGTAACGCATTACTTATATCAATCAGTCGCGAACGAAATACAACAAGAGAAAATCGAAGATATATCGTAATCGCATTATTACGTTTCAACGGGTATGCATGAAAAACACGTTTCTTTTCTTATTATTATAATAGATATTGACGCGAAAGAAATCACTTTCGTCCTCAGGATCACTACTTTCTACACCTCATTCTTTTATAGATACGACTTATCGTTCGCACAAATGCGAAATAAAGAACGAGCTGCAACGAATTACACATTTAGCGCGAGCAGATAGTAGTTTTATAACTGTGACTGATTCTCTTCTGTTCTTTTTATGGATTTATTTTCATAGTATACTAATACCGCATCGCAAGAAGTAGCCACACAGAAATTGCATAAATCATTGTGTCAATAACAGCCGGTTCATTAATTTCATTCTGAAAATCGTTTTAATCATAAATTGTCACTATGTCTTTAACAATGCAGCAAAATATTCTTACGTGCATAAAATATGTAGCACAGTAGTACGTGAAATACCAATGTTATTAACACACAGAAAGAATGGTTTTGCTGAAATATCTAAAAATTACTGATAATAAACATAATTATTAAATATAATTGTTATAAACATACGACAAATTGACACGTTTGAACTGACTGTGAAAAAATACGTTGTTTATGTGTACATCCTTCGATAAGATGATTTAGCGTTTATTCCATACAAAATCTGGAGATTGACAGTAACGAAAATGATTACTTATTTTGTTACTGGCCACACATATGCGATTATTATATAAGTGAGTTAACATAATACTTTCGGCGTAAACAGTTAATTACAATTAATTCAATTATATAATATTTAAACTTAATACTTTGAATATATCTCTAATTACGTTTGTTCTTAACATAAATATAACGTAAGAACCGCGATAGGCCGCTTATAATCAATTTTCGCTGTATATACATCTATTCATATATCTATTTCTTGCACACTTAAATTGGACGGATTTATTTTTACTACGTTTCATAATTAAGCGTCTACATTTTGTATTTGACAATAATTGTAAATCAACGAAGAGATGAAAACTATCTGTATGCCGCGGTGGAATTAAATTCGATGGCGAGATTTACACGTGCTTTACGTCCTCTCTCTCTCTCTCTCTCTCTCTCTCTCTCTCATATCAATTGTTTCGAAAACTGGAACTGAATTATCTGCCATTTAATTACCGTTATCGAATTTCGGCCGCGATTTTACGCAATGGCACAATTCAAGATCTTCATCGAGGCATCGCACTAGATCGTCCAGGATTCAATCGTCCTGTTATGTTTTTCTATCTCGTCTCATGCACGTTATTGTTAATCAATAACAAATATTATTGTTTGTTTATACACTTCATAAGATAAAAAAATTAAATGGAAAGGCTCTAATGATCTAAATCAATAACAAAAGTAATGTCTATAAGAACCGAACATTGGATAATCGTGTGTAATGCTTTTATTATTATAATAAGAATGGATAAACGTTTCGATCATATGTGTGGATCCTTCTCAATATTGCAAACAAAAATTTGGAGATTGTGTGACTCGACAATACGTAGTAGTATCTTATATACCTACATTTATACAATACTCGTATAATATATGTATAATATAATTAATACGAAAAAAATCATATAATCATAAAAATGAAAAGTTCAAGCCATGTTCAAAAAAAGATACTCGAAAATTTGAACCTTTTATCTAATAATAATAGATACATTACCACGAAAAGTAACTGATGTATTAAAGGTGGCAGTTCAAAGTGAACATAAAGTGTATGCAACTTTCGGCCGATTTTCGAATCGCCTCTGCCCTCCCCTTCACCTCACCGCGCGCGGTCCAAATGCCGCTCGAGCGATATTTGATCTGCACGCGGGGTATAAGTAAGGTGAGAGGGACAGCGGAAGGCGGAGGCGATTCGAAAATCGGCTGAAAGTTACATACACTTTATGTATATGTTCACTTTGAACTGGCACCTTTAATTAATAATGTATCAGTTACTTTTCGTGGTAATATATTATTATTAGATAAAAAGGTTTAAATTTTTGAATATTTTTTTTTCTGAACATGACTTGAACTTTTCATTTTTATGATATGATTTTTTTCGGATACTACTTACTTTTTAGAGTACAGATACATCACAAATA